AAAAAAAGTTCAAGAAGACGCATGATGATGTCCAGTTTTTAAAGCAAGGTGCATATGAGATGTCTACTTTCCTGTAGCTCTTTAATTGATGTTTGCTAAAAAATAAACGACTCCGCATTACATCTGTACACAGGCCACGCTGAACGGCAATATTTATTGACTAAGTTAACTATCAACCGAGAGTTTGCATTGAATAGAACGAAATTCAGCAGCGTAAGCTCACTCTTGTTCTCAGTGTCACCACTGTAATGTAATGTTGCGTCTTACTGTCACAGAGCGATAGTCTTGCTACATTTTATGAGTGAAGGGGATCCTACAACCCGTAGGATTCGTTTTTATTGTCATTCTTATGGGGAGAGAACTTGTACTCACTCTGCTTCAAACTGAGTTTATTCCCAACTCTTCTGCAACCGTTCTCAGTGGACTTTTATTCGTCTATCGTTGGTTGCCTGATCACGTGTGTTCGGTCATTTACGTTGACCGTTTTAACCAGTTAGATCAACCCTCTCAACCTGTTGAGCCTCTGCTCTGTCGTTCATTTGTCCATGTGCAAGACATCTTGCATCTTGACTTTGGTGCCTTTTCATAGAAAACATAGGCGATTTGGATCGTCAAGGGTGTCGCTAAAAATAGCTACTTTCGTGTGATTTCTCTGCAGATGTACTCGAGCCTTAATGCGCTGCCTGTTTCGGAGCGTTGAACCTACAACAGTCCTAGAGGTAACTTCCAGTGACCATCGTTCTGAAGGCCTGTATGCCGTTACTGCAGAAGTGGATACTCCGTATACGACCGCACCGCAACGACCGTCGTTCGCGTGGGACGCAAATGTTGATCCACTGTTTTCTACGCGCGATGACATGATGAACTCTCGTGCCTTTACTCGGAAAGGCGTGATGGATCTGATGACACAAATTTAGCACAATAGAATACCCAGCAGGCCCAAAAAGTCCGTCTCGAAATAAAAGTACTCTGTGTTAGATTGGTGCTATTCTTTGACGTCTACACTCATCTGCATAACAGTTTGGTTTTGATGGGAGACTCACCTGGAACCCAACTGAATCTCTCGTCCCAAGAAGGGCGAAACCGGTCGTGGGCTCTCGAAGAGTCTTCAGCAACCTCGTGAGTAGTGTGTGCGCACATCGGACAGTTCTTGCACTGTGAATTCACGTCATCCAGTTGAACCATTGTTTTCGTGACTTTCAAGAGGTGAGTAGAAGGCTTCAGGATCCAGATCAACACTTCCATTGATGTACATAGTCAGTGGGGGGGGGCGAGGTGGACCAAACGGTTAGAGCGCGAATTTACCGACCGAAAGGCTCGTGGTTCGAGCTCCACCTCACTTGGGTGACCTGGCAGTATCCCAGCCCTCATGCCTCCTTCGGGTGGCATGGCAGCTAGGCACCGTAAGAGTGCTACAGCTGAACATAGTGAGTGGAAATCAGCCTGGATATGCTCTTACCACACTGTTTCTTTTTCGATTCTTTAGTAAGCGGTCACAAGTCTGCTATTTTTCTCCCTATCAGTTGCAACATCCGATCCCACTGCGGGCTCATACCCTGCCAAGAGAAGGCACCGATTCGGAAGCTCCACAATTGTACCCAACAAATCTCGATCAAGAATGCCAGCACACTCGACTGGCATCCTCCCCACCACCGCCGCCACCTCCGAGGGCTCGGTTACAATCATCTTTGGTTGGAGAACAGCGCAAACTGTCTGGGGAAGCACCAGTTTCAATGGTTCCACCAAGTTCACAACGTCCTGGTGACAGTTCAGAAGGGAATGATCTCCTCCAGGTAAGCACTGCTCTGATGCTCCACGTTCACCTCTTGCTCTTTGGGAATATGCACATGGGCTGCCGATAGCCGAGACTTTTCTGCCGACATTATTAGACGTGGAACGAGCGACTCAGGTTGGGGAAAACTGCATGCATTCAGTACTTTTCCGCTGGCGCTCACGATGGTAATGTTCATTTTCACGGCCAGAACCCCATCAACTTTGCCTTCCACTGACAATAACAGCTTTGGAACGCCATCAACAATTGTGTTTATCACTTTGCTGTTCTTCGGCCTGTTGGGCGAGATGGCTCAAGTGGTTAGAGTGCGAACTTACTGACCGGAAGGTCTGTGGTTCGAGCCCGACCTCTGCCTCTCGACTCACCTGTCTAGGCTTGGGCAACCTGGCAGTATCCCAGCCCTCGTGCTTCCTTCACGTCGCATGGCAGCTAGGCACAGAAAAGGTGTTACAGCTGACTGATTTTTTTAATATTTCTACAGCCTGTGTACTCCGACTCAAAAATGTGATTTCAAGATTGAACAGTGAGGATGGCTGTCCCATGGTCATCTTCCAATTGCATCGAGAACATCGCGAGTAATAAATCTAGGTCAGAATGTAATGAAAGCCCAAAGCGCAGCCTTAGGAGCTGGGAACGAGGCGGTGCTATTGGTCTTGACCCCGGGTACACGGTTGATGCTGTTGGCCGCGTCTCGGTGATGTAGGCTTTAATAGATCAGATATTACTTGTGAGTAGTGGTGAGATTTTCAGTATTCGGTCACCCGCTGTTGAACCTGTGCATATCTGCGGTGAGGTTTGCTGGGCCTGTTGGGTAGGTACTCATTTGTGAACTGAAGTGATGCTAACACGTGAACTTAAGTCAACCTCATGTTTATACCGCTTCTCAACCGAATATACTGTGTAAAAGCTACCCAGCAGTTCGAGAGAGCTTATTGCTCAAGGCGCAAACCTACTAACTCAACTCTGACTGCTCCTGTCTAGGCTTGGAGAACCTCGCAGTATCCCAGCCCTCGCACTTTGTTTGGGCGGCTAGCGAGATGGCTTAAGTGGTTCGAGCGCGAATTTAATGACCGGAAGGTCCGTGGTTCGAACCCGACCTGTGCCTCTCGACTTCCCCCTGTCTAGGCTTGGGCAACCTGGCAGTATCACAGCCTCCCGTGCAACCTTGTGGTGGCAGTTAGGTACCGAAAGGGTGCTACAGATGAACGACTATTTTTTATACAGAGAACAAACTGACCAATTTCTCAACTAGCCTAACCAAATCGTTGACTTCAGAAAGACCTTCAAACGGACGATATGCACACATCACAATCACCCTGTGGTAGATAGACTGTCGGAAACCTAATGGCGACTCTCCCTGAAATTTTTCACCGCAAGACATCCCGAGAGAATGGTCTTGGACAAATGAATGACAGCCCTTCCCCCTCGGTGGGTACTTCGTTCCCTTATGTGCCTTGACAGGATTCCAATTCCGGGAAGTCGGTGTATTCCACTCCACATTTTAGTTCACCATCGGCTGCATATTTGTTTTTTTCGGTACGGGACACGAATTCGCGAATTAAGGTCCCCGTATTGTGACTGTTTTTGTATTTCGGAGATCTCCACTTTTCCCATGCAATGTGGTTTCACTCTGATTGGCCATAACGTTGTGCGTCTGAGATTTAATCGCCCGCAGCCGAAAGTGGAAGGGCGAAACCGGTTGTGGGCTGTCGAAGAGTTTTCAGCAACTTTGGGAGTAGTTTACTTTATGTTTTCGGCTTCTTTGGATCTTGTTCTCTGTCTGATTTTGCCAAGTGTAAATAATTCCCGTAGAGGCTTCAACGCGCACGGTGCTACTCGCCTCCCAGGATCGGGACCGCGTGATCCGCAGTGCGCCCAGTTTGAGACGCCGCAAGAAACGGGTGCCCATGGATGTCGATGGTGTTCTTGTTTTCGGTTGCTATCCAGATTACCTGAATGAGTGTCTGGAGGTGTAGGCACCTCGGAATGACTGTAGTAAGCTAGCATTAAGTCCCTTCTCGTCCACCTTACTCTTTTCTTTACCATAAGGCTTTCAAATAAATCGAGGTTGTACGGCAGTGAAGCGTCAATTTTGAACACTGATGTCTTGCTGTCCATGATAATTATGGTCCGCGGGAATTCAAAAGTGCTTCTAAATGTGGGGCCTTACTCTGTCCAAGTTTTGTTCCCTTCGTAAGTAGTCTAATGCCACACGTAGTTAACCTAATCGAGCACTACAATTCTCCCCAACTTCTCTCCATAGATCCCACCGCATTTGGCACCAGACCAAGTGGATTCCCTCACCGCTGGACTACACCATAAGTACGTTCTGTTACCAACGTTTTCTACATTATAACACCTGTTTCTACGAGTCTGTTTGCGCACAGAAACGAACAATGCTAGATTTTTCCAACCACAGGCGACTAGCTTATTCCGATCTATTGTGGTTATTCGTCCAAACCAGTCATGAGCCGTTTTGGGTGATCGAGCTTATCGATGCTAGTAGCGTTTATATAGGTATTCCGATGACGTTTGTTACTCGTTTCGTGATTGGTCAGTTGACCCTTTCTGTTGATTGGTTGCAATGCCACAGGTCACCAGAAAGTTTAGTTCCGATAGTTTGCATGTTCCAGCGCGCTCGGTTCAGTTACAAATAGAGATTTTTATGCACACGATGCTTCGATTGGCTGCTCGCCGAATGATTTGCACAGAGTTTACGATTTCAAACGTATGCTTCCTCGAGCTTTTAGCTACCCAGGCCCTGTTGCATTCAAGGCTTTTTTCAGACTACTGGTGTGCATTTTTTAGACTCAGTGGGCTTAGATTGAGTGTAATCTCTTCGTTCAAAAATTTGTGTCGGCAGCTTCAGATTATACTTGTACTTCACAGCACAATATCTCGTTTCCTGCCAGAATTTGTACTCCTACCCCTTCACTTCTTGACTCCAGGCACCCGGTAGACACAGAGGACCCGGCCGCTATCGTAGCCCAACTTCGACGCGAGTGTGACGGGGTTTCACAAGCCAACGAAAAGTTGGCTCAAGAACTGATGCAACTCCAACAACGACGTATCGCTTTGAAAATCCTGCTCGAACGCTTAATGCCCCTGGATGCGGGCTATCCAACCTGCTTTGAATATTGATGATCGAAATGTGGCAACTGAATCACGCTTTTTATCTTTTATCTCGTTCTTTCTTCATCAACGCTTGTGCTTCGTTCTCTTCTGCACGCATGAGTAAACCGTGCTCTGTGTGACCTAAATACACTTTCTTCTTCCCTGCCTTTGAAGACATATTGCAACAAGTGGGAATTGTTTGGCTACGCGATCCGCGTTCACGACTACCCCGAGCAAGATGTCGCGATTCTCCGCTACCGCAAACTAAGTACCAAGGTTGCAACACCTTTGACTGGTTGGTCGTGGTTGGAAGGGGGTGGCGAGGGACATCGGTAGACAAAGAACTGTGTGGGTAATTGATGCTTCTCGGTCGTTCAGACTGAGGAGGTGACCCACCTTGGGCGTTTGACTGACTCCCAAAGTGGTGGAAGGATGTAGGGTTTTTTGTCGAGGACCCTACCCCCAGCCTCCGACTCAAGAGTCTAGACCGCGGTTGGGGGAGGGCTTTCTTGGGGACCCTGCCCCGAGCCGATGACTCGGTTGTCCGACTCACTCGGCCGCAGAGGGTTGGCTAACCCGAGGACACGGAGAGTAAGGCATTACTGTCTTACTCCCAATGCGGCTGCGCATAGCAGATGAGCAGCACCAGACTCTGTGGTTTTAGAAAATACTTCGACCACAATACATAATGCGCCAGTTGTTTGGCGATCACAATGTGCGTTTTTGGCCGACATTTTCTGTCCTTTCCCCAGGCGTCGCTGCTTCCGTAAATCTCAACGTGCTGGTCGCCTTTCTGCCTCCACATCACAGAAGACAGTACGACTTCACCTTCAGCTCGCCTCCAATTACGGTTAATTGTACTGCGGGGTTTCGCTGCTCTTGGTCTGTCTTCTCTCCTTCGTGGCGTGGTTGCGGGTTGTGTGGAACGAAGGTACAGGCACTGTATCCCCTGGGATCATTGCAGCACTCGTGATGTGAACACGAGTTTCATCGAGCCTAACACTGGCACAGTATCTACTCATGTCTCTGTCATAGGATCAGTTTCCCCCATTGGAATGAATCTTGTGGCTCACATCACCCAAGGAAGCAGTGAACTTGAGTTTCCGTCCTATCAGACCTTAGCAACAGCACATATTCGAGAATTAGGACGCCTGGCGTGCCCGGAGAGCGTGTCACTGCCATCGCAAACCGGACACACTTGAATTACCCGTTTTGAACAGGAGAGATTGAGTGGCGCTTTCGGTGCCTCGAGCGATTATCAAACTTGGCTGTGTCCATCGGTTGGCTCACTTTTCGAACCCTGGAAGCCTGAGACCGATCGAACAGTTTTAGACAGTTTACAGACTTTGGGAGACGAGTCGGTCAACTGCCACAACCATGATAGTCATCATCATTATCAGCTGTAAGAACCGCGTACTCGTCGTGCAGTGGTTGTAGCTGCCACAGTTTCGTTCACCGATGATTTGGAGAGGTGGGGTAGATAGCTGCACATTGGAGGCGGGAGCTGATAAGTTGGTGTCTAAATTCAGGTCGGTCAGTGGACTATTAAGTGGGGGGATTTGGAAGGGAGCTACGCACACACACACACACAAAATGTCGACTATTAATTTCCCTGGTGATCTGATTGCTTGACTTCTGGAGTCTCTTGTGAAATACTCCACTTTGAGCGTCAGTATCAGTACACGAATGATTGCGGGCCTGTTTTTGTTACATCGAAATTTTTGACTTTCTGAGTGTTTCAGTGTCAGTCAAGTGCCCGTCAACCTTACTTGGAACCAATTGCACGAAATTAGCGAAATACACTCATTTGCAAGCGAATTTGTTTTTGCTCGAGTGACTCACCTGGAACCCAGCTGAAACTCATTTATGGTGTAGAGTTTTCAGCAACCTTATGAGTAGTACACTACGTTCTCCAAACTCATACACTGAATGCTGTCGCAGGATTAGTCAATAACTCGGTAACGCAGTTCGACTCCATCACTGAATGCTGTCGCAGGATTAGTCAATAATTCGTTTGCGCTGCTCAACCCCATACGTTCCTAGTTCACTGGTATCCAAAAAAAGAAATCCAAGAAAGCGGCATTCTCCTCCAGATTTTGAGCAACTTAGTTCGTCAAGCTCACACAGAACATGCTGCCCGTAATTTAGATGAAACTCGGAAAAATACATCGCTCGGATTCGATTGGGTTATCCGTTAACGCCAATGTAGTTTGCAAGTCAGTTTACTTGGCCAAAAACAACATTGTTTGTTGCTGAGGCCTCATAACTATGTGACGGGACTGGTTGTGAAACAAACGCAATGCAACTGAGGAGTGGGTATGCCTTGATTGGTGGGTGAGCAGATGATCCCGAGATAGCTCAGTGATTTCGGCGCCAACTTACGAATCGGAGGTCCGTTCTTCGAAGTCAACTTCAGCATCTCCACTGCTCTTGTCTAGAATTGAGCGACCTGATGATATATCGGCCCTCGCACCTCCTTCCGTTGGCATGGCGGCTGGGCACCGAAAGGGTGCTACAGCTGAACGATTGGCTGAGGGGAGGTAGCGTATGCCTTAATTTTACACACCTGCGTATTATTTGTTTTGTTTTTCATTGGACGTGTGGTTGGCGGGTTGAAACCAGTAGGGTTCTTTCACGCGGTCGGGACGGACGGGGCTCTGGTCACTTCAATAATTGTTCAATAGTTCATTACTGATTCTGTTCGGTTTTTTCGTGTCCTCATCTGTGAATGTCGAAGGGCAGATTCGATGCCTCTATTTGTGTTTCAAGCTAGCCTCACGCTTCTCCGATGACGCTAGTGCCATGGCAACCAGGCTGGTGTAGCATGCGCCCGGGGAACACAGTAAGTACGACCTTGGGTTTGCTGACGTACACAAGGAAGGATACACTCGCTCAAAACTGATGGGTACCACCACTAAATACTGTTGACCCAAAAAGGTCGACCGTTCAACTCTGCGCCCCATGAGCTTGCACGCCATTCTGTCGGAGCTACTAGGTATGCAGTCGTCGGTGACCGGTTTATAGATTGAAGGGACGATCGATTCCATTCAGTCCGAAGGGGCAGCCCTCCTCGATTTCAACACTCACTGGCTTACCAGTACCGACTTTGTGGTGCACGGAATTAAAATTGTTCAGCTGTAACAGCCTTCTGGTGCCCGGCTGCCATCCCACCCGAAGGAAGTACGAGGGCTGGGATACTGTCAGGTCCGGGCCGAGACGGGAGAAGTCGAGAAACAGAGGCCGGGTTCGAACCACGAACCTTCCGGTCATTGACAAATTCACGCTCTAACCTCTTGAGCAATTACACTAATCACTAGTAAAAGACTTGCGAATTAGTGTGTGTTCGCTAATTTCGTGCAATCTGGTTTCAGCTCGAACATAAGGTTGACAGGAAGTCGAGGAATGCGCCTACCTGATGAGCCCCAAGAGGGGCGGAACTAGTCGTGAGCTGTCGAGGAGTTTTCAGCGACCTTATGAGCAGTACATTACAAAGATGTACATGTATCGCGACATCTCGAATATCGTAGTGACGCAAACATGAGGCGGCCTGGTGCAGCATATTCAGTTGCCTGGGAACATGAAAACCGAGAGATTCAGCTGGGTTACAGGTGAGACTCTCCAAAAACCAAATTGGTTTTCAAATGAGTGTATATTCGCTAACTTGGACAACCATTTTCATCTGATGATAAATTCGGTTTTGAGAGGAGACTCAATAGAATTCAGATGAGTATCTCGTTTATGATAGTTTGAGCAACTTCTCGAAGCTGCTGTGAAGGAATACGGGACTGTGTGTGGCTGGGACTACCACCGCTGAGTCATTCGTCTCGCGAGGCTTGATCCAGCAATCCTTTCCGACTGTGTCGCACTCAACTGCATCAACCGCAATTGTGTTTTTAGCCGTATAGTGCTTTGGGATGATTGGTGGTTTCGCTCGAT